GGAAAGAATGGCGAATATCGAGAAGAATAATGTAACAATTGAAACTAAAATAACAAATTTAGAGAAAAATCGTGAAAGAAATGCGGCAGATATGAACAACAAAGTCGATGGATTGAAAACAGCTTTGGTCAGAGCTTTTGATGAAATGAAGGACGTTCTTATCACGATGGAGGGCAGGATAGAAGAAAGCACAAGAAATAGAAATGGTTATAAGGAAAATATAATTGTTGCTGGAGGTTATGGAACTAACTATGTAGAGATGTTTAACTGGCGTCAAAGAACATGGTCGCCATTACAATCAATGCCAACAAATCGTTGGGGAGCGACTTCATTTATTTATAACAATCATATGACCATAGCTGGGGGTACCTGTGGTTTGTCTGACATTGTTGATGATATGATTAAAATGAATATTGACCGAAACCCTGATCTCTCAACACACTGGAGTGACTGTCCTGTTAAACTACCTGATAAGTTGAGATATCACAGAAGTGTGCTGTATAATGATCAGTTGATAGTGTCTGGAGGTGATAATAGAAATGGTTTATCTGACTTGATCAGAGCAGTCCAGCTTGTTCCTCCCTATACTGTGAAGACCTTATCAAGAATGCCAGAACCAAGACATGGTCACAGCATGGAAATATTTGATGATAATTTGTTGATAGTTGGTGGAAGTACAACTGACAGTTACAAAGACAGCCTCAGCAGTGTTGTACTGTACGATATAAAGAAGAATGAACTGAAACAGTTGTCACCACTGCCGTATGAAGTGAGTGCTATGGCAACTGTGAGATGGGGAGACAACATTGTTGTTATTGGTGGTGCTGACAAACAATGCAAGACATTAGATACAGTTATCATTTACAATGTCAAGACAGAACAAAGTCACATGCTGCCATCAATGAGATTTAAGAGGAGGGCATGTACTGCAGTTGTTATTGAAAACAACATTGTGGTCCTTGGAGGATTGGGTGAGCAAAGAATGCTGAAGTCAGTTGAAGGTTTCAACTTTGAAAAATATTCTTGGGAAGAATTTCTAGAAATGTCTCAAGCAAGATGCCGACACACTGCTTTTGTTGTTTGAAAGATGTAAAAAGTATTCGTGAAAAAGCAATGAGACTTCCAATCTGTATAACAATTTCAAACAGTTGAAAATAGATTAAATATTGTGAAATAAAAAAATAAAATAAACTGAAAATTCCCTCGTATGCGTAATCAATTATCATTGCCACACAAAATTTAAGAGTTAAAACGTTCTTTCGTTGTCGTGTTCACGTGAACCCGCACACGTTGTCGTGTCGTGAACACGCACAATAATTGGTGGCTATCAGGTATACAATATACTTTATAAGCGCCGTGGTGGCTATCAAATCAACTGAGATTAAAACTCTTTTTCCACTTGGCGTAATTTTGCGCGAAGTTAAATTTCTCGTTGTCTCAAAAACCTGATTTCCAGCGCGCTTTTCTAGACATAATGTGGAATATTTTGTTTTATTTTTTAGTTAAAAGCAATTTATTGAGAATAGTTTATTCTAGCGGTTGCAATTCAAAAGAAATAGATGGAATTTTTTTGCTTTTTGCCCAACAGACACCTTGAAACCCAGTCTTTTTAGAAAAAAAAGAAGCTTTCAAGTCTGTTTTTTTTACCACTAAACAGCAGAGAAAAAATTGATACAAATCAACACACTCACTGACCTAAATAATTAGATTACAGTCTATCAATTTCGAGGGTGACAACACCCTCCTGGAAACCATGACGTCAGGTGAAATAATCGTCTCATTACTTTAGGTCGTTCAAAGACGTATCCATCTTCTGGCTGAGGAAGGGATAGGATTCATCCCAAATACCGAAATCGGAGTCGATCTTTCCGGCCAGCAGCTGCTCGAGTCATATGACGCCATCCTTTTAGCGATTGGTTCAACCGTTCCACGTGACCTCCAGATTCCTGGTAGGCAGACAAACCCAATTTCATAATCAAACCTAAATACTAGAAAATAGGAAAAACAGTTTAGAATTGATAGAGCTATTCAGTATAAATAAAGTCAGTTTAGTTTCCTCCTGTAGTAAGACTGGATCAATAAGAGATGATCCTTACTGGACCTCTAGGAAGAACAGTTTAGAACTGATAGAGCTATCCAGTATAAATAAAGTTAGTTTAGTTTAGGTTTCCTCCTGTAGTAACACTGGATCAATAAGAGATGATCCTTACTGGACCTCTAAGAAGAACAGTTTAGAACTGATAGAGATATCCAGTGTAAATAAAGTTAGTTTAGTTTAGGTTTCCTCCTGCAGTAACATTGGATCAATAAGAAATGCTTACCAAAGCTTTTAAAACATTTAGCTCCCTGAGTTGAGTGTCCAGTTGAATAGTTTTGAAACTTTCTATACCAACCTTGCGTATATCACTTGTGGATATGTTTAACATAAAAAAATGTTGTCAGTTCAACCAATGAAAAGCATAATCTTTCGCAAGTCGGAGTAACATAAAAAAAAATTCAATCTTTAGGTCGAGAACTTAAGGGCATACAGTTCGCTATGGATTTTCTGGAAAAAAATCAAAAGAAACAGCTTGGTATGTTTAAATTTGCTTCATCGAAATTCATTTAATCGAACTGCAGTCCAGTTGAGCTGTCTGCAATAGTTCAAATGTTAAACATAAAGATCGCATCTTGTTTTTACAAGAGGGTAAATCAATTACGATTTTGTTGCCCTCCACTCGATGTAGGTAAATTCTAAAGGTTTTTAAAGGGTCTTAATTTCGAGTAAAATCATACACAACTCAATTCAAGCCAGGAACAGTTGAGAAAAATTAGTCAACTATCGGTCCTCCGGCAGGAATCGAACCTACGCTTTTGCGATGAACTATTCCTGGCTTGAATTCAATTGACCATAACGAAAAAGATGGCGGATGTACATTTTACCAGAATGCATTGCGGTCGGAAATCGTTAAAAAAAGCGAACAGACGTCTTTTAAAGGACAGGCATAAAACCAGAAGTTAATTTCTTCGCTGAGTTAAATTTCACGTCATTAGGAGTTTTTCTTCGCTGGATATGCCAGGGTCTTCGTACCCAGGTTTTTTAGGTTCAGTCAGCTTTGCCAACGTCTTCTCATTAAACCAGTAAGGCTTTCGTACTTTTTTCTTTCAGTTTGTCATTTTGAGAACTTCGTTTTTTACTTCTCTTTTTAATAAAAAGAAAGCAAATCGAACAGAAGCCATTTTCAAGACCTAATTATTTTTAAAAACTTCCTTTTGTTCTTCATTTTTTCAAATTGAGTTCCAATTCAAACGAGTTACCGCTCAACATTACGCAGGCTTTCAAGCAATAACAATACACAATATATAATATAATCTTCCTTGCCTTCCTTTCAACGACATTCATTTCATCAAAATATCCATGGCCTTCTTTCATTGCCTTCCTCAAAGGACATGAACTCATCGTCTTGTTATTGAGCTCACAAAGACCAAGTTTTCCTCATTGTTGTACGAGAGACTGTATTCATAGTTGTAAGATAGCATTTTTTATTTTCGTAGCAATAAAACAAACAATCAGCTTGTGAAGTTACCCAGTAACTTGCTATAACGTTATCTGTCAACACCATGTCTATAAAATCAATTTTGAACTGACACGTTAGTTTCACATGACTATAAAAGTGTATTTTCTTATTTTGGGGAAATATCAAGAAAAATTACGATTGTCTTTTGTTGAACCGACAATTTATTTTTATCTAATCGTTTATAGACTTAATTTCAGCCGGCAATATCTGTCGTATTTGTTTATTCATAATTTTGATCTGCAAACATGCAACAAACAACGCAACTTTTAAACGATACATGCCTGTTCTTTTAATTTTGTGCTCTCTTTGAGTTTTGGAGAAGAAGAAAAGATGTCTGAAGAATACCCTGCCGTTCATATATGCTGTTTTTCCATAACTTTATTTAATTAAACTTCTTGACATGAAACAGAAAATTTATAGCTAAAAGCGGCGTAGATGAATTAAAACGTTTTCTTTATGAACACCGCTATATTTTTTATATTTTAAACAAGAAAACTTTATTAATATTTAGCTTTGTACTGACACAAAATGAAACAAAGTACGATAAATAGGAACTAAGTTTGTTTGTGTGTGTATATATAAATTAATACGAGAGAGAGCCTATATATATCATGATTATTAGGACAAAACCGTGCTTCGAGTTCAACTTACCTGCAAAAATCAATTGAAACGCGATCGGCTTATGGCACGAAATATTCCCAGTTATAAGTGATGTATTCTGAATTAAGATGATGATTGTAGCAAGTATATAATTTCCTGATTTCCAAGACATTGCATTCTTTATGTTGCAAGACGAATTGTCGAAATGGTTGGCATTTAATTCAAAAAGGAATACCCGCATTAATTAATATTCATTTATATACGTACATTTACGGTTCTAACCACAAGTCATTTAACACCTGCTATAAATACCAATTATTTGTAATGTAAAGTCGATTTCCCGTCATGCACTGATTTCTTATGTATTTTAAATCGGTCGATCATCAGCCGACCTTTAATTAAGAAAAAAAATACTCTGAAGAAAAAACTTTATAAACTTTGTAAACTTAAGGATGAGTTAGGGACTCCTATATATTATATCATGCATACGGCAACGGTTTTTTCGTAGCTATTAAAAAAATCCCTTAGGCTTGAGGTTTTTTATTTTATTTATTGAAAACATATTTATACATGCATGAAAACCTCTTCAATTAAATATAACTTGCATAAATGAAGGTCCCGATGACTAATTTATTCCGGATACTGGGTCCTATCGCAAAATACTGCAAGGTTGTCATTGCACCCCGGCATTACTAAAGGCATAAGTTCGATGCGTGCGCGAGGACTGGTAGTTTTCTCAACCGTTCATGCCTTGTATATGATTTCCACTCGAAATAAACACCTTTATTAAACGCTTTTCTAATAAATCTAGCATATTGAAGGTAAACTATATAATTTCAGGTGAATTACAGGTGGAGTTATAATAATAACAACACATAATATAGCAATAAGAGAAAGGTTCATAAGAATAGGCCTTATTGTCAAATAACGGTATGTTTCCTAGCTTTCACTAAGAAACGTGGACAAAAGAAATAATATAAGTGGGATATAAACAGAATGTCTTAGCTATATACTTAATATACGCATGCCGTTATTCTTAATTTTTAGACAAAATAACGTAGACAGGTGTAATGAGCCAGTTATTATTGTTCGGCAGAAACTTCAAACAAAAGTGAGCTGCTGAATGTTATCATTTTAGTTTTGCATGCCAGTGATATCACAAAGAACATTGCATTAAGAAACTTCACGGGTAGACTTCTACTTCACATAATGTTAGAACCTGCCCTGATCCAGGAATAATAATATTCACATATCTTCCAATCATTGGATTGGGACACACAATACTCTTGGTTTCAGCCTTCAGTGAATGATATCCGCCACATAAAGGATTGGAATTACCATTTGCGTTATTAAGGGTTGCACCAATCCTGATCTGAAAATTTGAAAGTCTTTCAGAGCAACAGTCTGAACGATTGGTGATGATCAGTTTTCGAATGAAAAACTATAAACAAAAGGAAATTATAACCAATCAAAAGTCAGGTGTTTGATTCCCGCCAGGTCAAGCAAATTCAGAGTAAGCGCACCTTCACAACACTAAGTTCAACCCTAGGTTCAACTTAGTATGACTTCTGTAAAATTAGACACTCGTCCAAGATAGTTGACAGTGACAAGCATCAATAGTGTTAATTATCCAAACATAAATACGTTACAAATAATATGTACTCACCCGAGTGGGCAGAGTATGTTTATGCTAATTATGTCACAACCTCATGCAAATGCTTATTTCATATTCAAGTATGAGGATAATAGTTAAAAAGGATTAATTTTAGGATTAAATTAAAAGGATTAAGATTACTTACAACATGTTGTAGATCCACTCTCCACCATGGGGAGTTTGTTCCATATGTATGAGTACATGAACCTTGTCTCCAATTTGAACTTCTCCTGCCATCAACAGCTCTTTTTGCAACAGCTCCATATGCTGTGTTTGTTTGAATGGCAGGCTTGTTTCGAGCTAGATTAATGGTACTTGGGTCTGAAAGAAACGAAAAACAGGGGGGGTCTGCATCTGATTAAATTATTGTTCACTTTTAGTTAGCACTATAGGAATGATTTTGTTTGCAAGGTACCTTGCTTTATGTAACAGAATACTTTCATGGTAACCCAGGATGTCTGTTCGGAAGCTAACCAGTATTCACCATCGTTGTCATGACAACTGCTGATGTCCAGACAAGACGCGCCTGGGTTTTGCTCTGATCCATACACCTGAGAAATAATAACGTCAATAAATAGATTCCCTGAGGAACATTTATTGTCAATCGCTGACAAACAATTATAACCCCTGCATTCTGAATATTTCTGATATTCTGCATTTATTCCAATCTAGGGTCTTGATAAACGGAGTTAATTCATTTATTATTTATTCTGTACGCAAAAACAGTCAAGTCAGCTGTGTCAGCCAAGCAAAACAACAAATATATTTCGTCGAGTCAGCTTTGCCAGCTTACTATTGTTTCATTTTGTATTTTGAGAACTTCGTTGTAAAGCAAATCGAGCAGAAGCCATTGAGCACAAGGCAAAACTATTTTTTAAAAACTTTCTTTTGTCCTTCATTTTTTTAAATTGGGTTCCAACTTCCAATTTAAACGAGTTACCGCTCAACATTACGCAGGCTTTCATCCAATAAGAATACACAATATATAATATAGTCTTCCTTGCCTTCCTTTCAACGACATTCATTTCATCAAAATATCCATGGCCTTCTTTCATTGCCTTCCTCAAAGGACATGAACTCATTGTCTTATTATTCAGCTCACAAAGACCAAGCTTTCCTTCATTATTATAAGAGAGACTGTATTCATAGTTGTAAGATAGACAGTTTTTATTTTCGTAGCAATAAAACAAACAATCAGCTTGTGAAGTTACCCAGTAACTTGCTATAACGTTATCTGTCAACACCATGTCTATAATTTTGAACTGACACGTTAGTTTCACATGACTATAAAAGTGCATTTTCAGGAAATAACAACAAACTGAATTACGACTGTCTTTTGTTAAAGCGACAATTTATTTTTATCAATAACTTTTTTCCATAACTTTATTTAATGAAACAGAATTGACATGAAACAGAAAAATTATAACTACTGAAAGCGGCACAGATAAATTAAGACGTTTTCTTTATGAATACCGCTATAGCCTATATATATATTTTTATATTTTAAACAAGAATACCTTATTAATATTTGGCTTTGTACTGACACAAAATGAAACGAAGTACGAGAAATAGCAACTATGTTTTTGTGTATATATATATCAGAGCCTATATAACCGTGCTTCAAGTGCGACTTACCTGCAAAAATTAATTGAAACGCGATCGGCTTATGGCACGAAATATTCCCAGTTATATGTGATGTATTCTGAATTAACATGATGATTGTAGCAAGTATATAATTTCCTGTTTTCCAAGACATTGCATTCTTTATGTTGCAAGACGAATTGTCGAAATGGTTTGCATTTAATTCAAAAAGAAATACCCGCATTAATTAATATTCATTTATACGTACATTGGCAATGTCATTGCCAACCACGCTTTTTACGGTTCTGACCACAAGTCATTAACACTTGCTATAAATACCCAGTATATTAACCGTTCCTGCCTTGTATATGATTCCACTCGAAATAAAGACAATTTTGAACTGACACGTTTGTTTCACATGACTATAAAAGTGTATTTTCCTATTTTGAGGAGATATCAATAAAAATTACGATTGTCTTTTGATGATCTATTTATATTATCAAGTCGTTTAAATACTTTTCAACCCGCAACAACAACATATCGTGTCTATATTTAAATTTTTGATTTAAAAACAACGAGGCAACACAGCTTTTAACCATAGCTATATGTCCTTAATTAGAGAGAGAGAGAGCCTGTAAAATTTTTCATGACGTTGAAACAAAACCGTGCTTCGAGTGTCACTTACCTGCAAAAATCAATTGAAACGCGATCGGGTTATGGCACGAAATATTTCCAGTTATAAGTGATGCATTCCGAATTAAGATGATGATTGTAGCAAGTATATAATTCACTTTCTTCCAGACATTGCAAACGATGTCGATGCTCTTTGTTCCAGACATTTGCTTTTTTTATGTCGTTTGGCGAATTACCAAAATTTGTTTACATTTAATTCTAAGAAAAATGTTCTCGCGTTTATTAATGTATTTATGCAAAGTGCCAACCCCCTCTTGGTTATTAACAATTAGTTAAAAGTAATTAAAACTTTATTATTTTCATACCCATTCCCGGGGATATAGCATGTTGTTTGGTTCTGGGCACAACCTCGTACCCAGGGTCTTTACTCGTAGTACGAGAGTGAGCAGAATAACTGTTTTATTATATACACAAACTTTGTCGCCCTTTCCATGCATTTTGGTTTGCTATTATCAACTAAAGCTCTCTACTAGACAGATATGAGCTAATATCTGTCTAGTAGCCAACCAATGAAATTGCAGCATATACCTCATATCTGGCGCTTGTGTATATAATAAAGGCATATAGCTGTCTGTCAGTGGTGTGCACATAAAAAAATGGTTTTTTGTATTGTTATTGTTTAAACGCATTTAGGAAAATTGGAAGTGCCCCCCAAAATAGCGGATATTTGTCATCCTGATCGAGAAAGGCTTTTTTCTAGCGACTAGGATTTAGGAATTTTATATTGCAGCTAAATTGTTTTATGAAAGATAAAAATAGTAAGAAAATGGCGTATGTTTTGAAAAACTGTATTATGAAATTTTAAATAGACCCTATCTGGCGCCAAGTTAGAGTTAAAAAATTACGATAACACATAATATAGCAACAAGGGAAAGCTTCATAAGAATAGGCCTTAATTATCGTTAACGGTATGTTTCCTAGCTTTCACTGAGAAACGTGAACAAAAGAAATAATATAAGTGAGATATAAACAGAATATCTTAGCTACATACATACGCATGCTGTTATTCTTAATTTCTGGACAAAATAGCGTAAAGACAGGTGTATAATGAGCCAGTTATTATTGTTCAGTAGAAACTTCAAACAAGCTAGTGACCTGCTGAATTTTATCATTAATCATTTTTGCACGCTAACCTGCTTGAGTAAGCGAAAATCTGTTTCCTTCTTACATGAAATATCCTTCACACCAAATGAAATTTGACCCCAATATCCAACAGAAAATAACCAAGTTATATAAGCCTTTGATTGCATTCATCTTGGCGATAAACTGTGAATTTTTTGGAGGTTTTATTAAGTGGCGTTGAAGTCATAGCCTTTGACCCGTTTTAAAGACGTTGAACGTTTCATGAGCCAAGCCTATTGTGTATTTCGGCAGCTGAAAAGACTAGGAAAGTTGTCGTCTAAAACAGACCTAATATGCACGCTGACATCCAAAGTTATGATTGGACACAACTTTAAGAAAGGGGCGTAACTTTACACAACCTCTTTTAGATTATTTGCTATACGAGCGACGTTTTAGACAACAAGGAAAATACACGAAAGCATGCATTCCTCGATGCATTCCAGGTTTGTATTCATTTTGGCTGCTGTGTTTTAAGACCATATCACATGTATGTGCAAAAAGTTTTAAAAATAAAAACAGATATTTATTTGTATTTGTAAGTCAGATTGGTTGAAGATTTATTGCCTTTTTATAGGGATATATTAATGACATTACAATGTATTTTAATGAAGCATGCATGGAGATCATATAGTATTATAGCAGATGACACGGGCAGCTGTGTGGGCGAGAACAGCGAGACTCTATTAATATAGGGTTCGATAAAGCGAGCGTTCTTTTAAATACAATAATAAAAATGATAAGATATGATTATTGCTTTAGGTCCTCCAGATAGTGGGAGATACGATTAGATGTATATAGCGTTTGGAACTTTAGAATGAGTGTAAGGTCGAGCGGATACGGGCTTTCCATGCAACGGCATCGAGCGATTTTTTTGTTCAGATTTAAGTTAAATCGTTTCAATGATTTTTAAAATTGTCAGACTTTGTCATGGTCCACTTTTCATTTAAACGGGAAGGTTTACTTTCCAGATAAATGCACAGCAGACTTCTTTTGTAGCTATTTGTGATTGCTGTTGGGTTTTTTCTCATGAAGAGGATATTTGAGTTATGAGAGGGAATTTTGCTCATGAATGAATTGTTAGACATCTTTTTCTTCCGTAATTGGCAATGATCGAATTGTTCGCAACATCTTGTTCCTGTGGCCGACAAGGCTTATACCCATCGTCTTAAGATCATTGTCCAGTAATCCGGCGAGATCAGCGACATTTTCGTAGCCAGCG